AAAAATTGTTGCTTTTCTAAATAATTTACTAAAAATACTTTTAAGTAGAAAAAGTTTTTTTATTTGCGAAGCACTCCATTTAAATTTTATTTTGAAAAAGCTGGCTTTTTAAGCAATACAGACAATTTTCTCAAGTAACAAACTATAATTGTATAAGTTAAAAATCTACTTGCATAATTATTGTATTAATAAAGCTTTGTTACTTTTCGTAATCGTCTCCCTATACTATTAGAAAATTTGCTGTCTTTTACCTTATCAACTATACGTCTAGTTTTTTACTTTCGTTAAGTAACTTGAAGGTCTATTTTCATTTCGTTGTCCGTTTTTGGTGAATGAATTTTCATCTTGCCGTATCTCTATGAATTTTGCTATTTGTTATCAAATTACTGATCTATCAAATTAGCAATGAATAACTGTATGTTTCAAACAATGACTATACATATAAATGAGCAAGCTAGGAAGAAACCAAATACACTAGGAAAGGACAAGTTGATAATAAAGGAAGCTGTATTTAATTGCATTGTCTGTCGTTGCTTCCATGAACACGATAGCAATAGACTTCAAATTAATGAAATTTATTGTTTTATGTGATAGATTCTGCAAACAATACTTTATTAATGCCTGCAAAGATTTCTCTGAATTATTAGTCGACTTTTCACGCCATCTGTTGAAGGTTGTTGAAACAGAAGTATATAAATTACTCACTGTTATAATAGCGTACAGGCTAATAAGGCGGTGACCGTTCACTTCGTCGCACGACACTTCGTCGCGTTCAGTTCGTCGCAATCATTTCGTCGCACGATCACTTCGTCGCATAACATTTTGTCGCGTTCTGTTCGTCGCAGAAAAAAAAATTCTTTCGCTCTGTTCGTCGCAGAAAAAAAAAATCTTTCGTTCTGTTCGTCGCAGAGTAATTACTCTCTTTCTCTTCCTTTCTACTTGTTGTATCTCACTTAATTAATGAATTTTTTTTGTACAACCAATTGAAATAAAATAAATGGAAAATTTTATGAAATATGTACAATTAAAATAGACAAATGATAATTCTAACAAGAATAACTCTAATTGAGAAAGCGGATCAAAACGAACACTCATATATAATCGCAACGAGTCTAAAGTGAACGATGAATAATTAGATTTGTTACTCGGTTAATCAATTGTAACATAATCGAGGCTAAAGATAAATAATAAAATAATATTCTTAAATATGAAGCCAGAAAAAAAAGTATATTTCGTTTTTCAATATCAACTCTCACTGCGAACTACTCTTTAATCAAAATGTCTCAAATCGAAAAACTTCTTTCTGTAAAAGAAAAACCAATGATTCATCACGAAGGTTACATCTATACTGTGGAACGTACAACATCGACGAAATTGATCTTTCGTTGTCAGAATCGAGATTGTAAAGGTAAGTTAACATTTACTATCGGTCAATTAAAACAAAAATTATTGATCTATTAAGCTCGATGTCATACCAATTTATCTATGGACGTATTTCTCTCACAACCAACAGCCCACTGTCATGCTCCTCAACCTGATCGTGTGCCTGCTATTCAATTAAAAAATGAAATTAAAGCTCGTGCCGTAACAACAGATGAATCAACCAGCTCCATTATTCATTCTGCTTTGCGTACGTATCCGTTGAGTGCTGCTGGTGAACTTCCAAAAAATGAAGCACTTATGCTAATGATTCGACGACAGCGTATCGTTGAAACAGTCGATGCCGATGGTTGTTTACCAGAAAAATTAAGAAAGACATATCGCGATGAAGACTTCATCTTGCACGAAGACAAAAATTTAATTATCTTTACAACAAAAACAAATTTATCGATTCTGAAGCAAAATAAACATTGGTTCGCTGATGGAACATTCAAAGTAAGCTATCAATTAAAAGTTTATATCTTTTTTTTTCTATTTTTCTTTGACGTAGGTGTGTCCTGATGATTATTATCAATTATTTACGTTACACGCGATGATGACTAATGCAATTATTCCTCTCGTCTATGGATTATTAATTGGTAAAAGTGCTCAAGATTACAATTCATTCTTCGAAAAAGTATTAGTACAAGATAATTTTCAACCTGAATCAATTATGACTGATTTCGAAACTGGTACAATCAAATCCGTTAGAGAAATGTTGCCAAACGTTTTACATAAAGGTATTTTGTAATATTCTCAAAAAAAAAAAGTAATTAAAATGTTTGTTCTAGGATGTTTATTTCATTTTTCGCAAGCGATATGGCGACAAGTTCAACAAAAAGGATTGGTAACAAAATATAGAGAAGATGAGTACTTTCGTTTGAATGTAAAAAAATTAACTGCTCTTGCTTTCGTTCCAGTAGATGAAATTACAACTGGCTTTGACTTAATTACCAATCAATTCGATGACGACGCCGATGATTTACTTGATTATTTTGAAAAAACATGGATTGGTGAACCAAAAAGAAGAGGTAATTTTTTTTCTTCATTCTTAAGAAATATGAAATATAATCGACTTTCTTAGGAACTGGTCGAAAGAAGCCTCAATTTGATCACAAGTTATGGAATGTTCATGATCGTGTCCTCGCTGCTGTACCTCGTTCGAACAATTCGGTGGAAGGCTGGCACAATGCATTTGCGAACCGCGTCGCAATCAATCATCCAAATATCGTGAAATTGGCGGAGAAAATTCGTTGTGAACAATCGAAATTCGAAGTGGACATGGCGAAGATTCTCCAAGGTCATGATATTAAGATGAAGAAGGCCTGCTATCGACGATTGGACGAACGAATTACTCGGCTGGTCAATGCATTCGACTCATCTCAACTGGATCAATTCTTAACAAATATGGCAGCCAACATTAATCTTTAGGTAATTTTTTTCTTAAAATTATTTTGTTTTCTTTAGGTTACTTTTTTTTTTCTTTTGTTTTTTTCTTTCTTTTTTTTTGCTTTTTTTGTTCTCAATTTGTTCATCATTATGTTATGTGTGATACACAAAATAAAGGTGAATTAAATGATCAATTTCACATTTTTGAAAAGAAAATTAATTAAGAGTGATGCGACGAATAGATAGTGACGAGCACAACGAAAGAAATTTCTCTGCGACTGACAGAACGAAAGAATTTTTTTTTCTGCGACGAACAGAACGAAAGAAATTTTTTTTCTGCGACGAACAGAGCGCGACAAAATGTTATGCGACGAAATGATTGCGACGAAGTGAACGCGACGAAGTGTCGTGCGACGAAATGTACTAGCGCCAATAAGGCATAGTGATTTGAACATATGCTTATCAAGTGAAAGGGTGAAATGAAAGAACGAAAAAAAAAAGATAGTTCAAAGAGAGAGAGTAACAGACCAAACGATAGACATTAACTATATTTGCTGGGGAATCGTTTTTCAAACATTATTTCTAAGGACTTGAACATACTTCTTCGAGATAATTAATACTTCTTACTCCGTTTTTTACATTCTTTTCAATGACATAATTTTTTATTGTATTTGCATAATATCAGAAATTTCAAAGGAGTTCATATGTATTTGATTTTTTTTCCTTCGAATAATTCACTTTACTTATTTCCAGGAAAGAAAATCTCAAAATCGATTGTTTGTAGTATTTTAATTAATTTTCCCCGATAACAATTGATTCAAAGCCAAATTCAGATTAAATTTCTTCGTGAATCAATAATAAGAGATAGTTTACATATCTTGTAGGAAGTGATTGATTTGAAATAATCATTCCCAGATTCTGATCAATTTTGCAGGGCGAAATATCATCTTTTTTTCAATATTTCTCTTGTAAATAGCCCATCAAGTGTTGGATAATTTTCTCTATTAAATTTTAAATACTGTAGCGTGAATAGTCATCGTGCTTTCATCGATGTTTTTGCAATACTTCTTTTAAGTGTTTGCATGATTGAAATATGAACATACAGTCTTTTATTTTTTTGTATTTGACTGTACTTATTTAACACATGTTTAACAATAAAGCTAGCCATCCTGTCGTTCGACTATAAACAAGAAATATTGAAAAAGTTAATGATAAACTGCATCAATCATCTATTAGATTTCTTTGTTCTGTTTTTCTATCTTTATATATTATTACGTTGTCATACACTATTCTCATTAGAATATCTTTCTTTCTTTCTCTTAATCTTCCTCTTTTTCTCGTGTCGCGCACCGGTTATTTTCCAAATTTACATATGAAAAAGCAAAGACTGATATAACAAAGAACATTTGAATAATATGTGGCCGTTTGATGTTATAATCACTACGTATTGTAATATTTTAAGCTAAAAACAATTCGAAACACGACATTGAAGTGAGCTTCCAAATATGTAGGGATTGAAATTTTTTCACGCTTAATGAATATATGAGGCGCGTGTTATACATGCAAAACGATTATTCTTTCAAATTGGTTTCCAAGTATGTGGTTGTATGTAAAAATAAAATGGTAAAACAATATCAGTACATAGAATTGAAAATTTTTTTCCATTGAAAATATATTTAAACATGATTACTCTATTGGACCCAATAAAATTTTTGTAATTCCACGTATAGGACTAATTATGTTGTATAGATAATGATTGAAAAAGCGGTCGTTGTTTTTACATGATCACATAATTACTAGAATATTTATTCATTTGGTTAATGAATCACATAAAATTGCACATCACATATAATGATAGTTCGAAGACTATACATAGTAATTGGAAAGTTTGCGTAATATGATATCTTAATTACCCACAGATATCGATTGAAATATATTTATTGACCATTGTTGACGCAGCGAGATCAGTTAGTCGATTACTACCAGCTAGTATAATCTGATCTGAAATTATTTTCAATAACAACAATGCTCTATCGGTGAAGGTTATTAATGAATATACATGTATGTTCAAAGCGCAAAACTACGATTATGTGAAAATTTAAACACTAAATCATCAGAAACACACATTACAAAAAACGAAGTTTTTTTTTGTTTTGCTCATCGTTATGTATCTTATCAAACTATAACGAAGATTATTGAGGATATTTCTTCTCGAATTGAATTGCCATTTCAAGCAATTCATCATCTGGTATTTCAGGCATTATTTGAACGTTTGTACGAGCATTAGCAGCAATTTCGGCGGCACTAACAAATTTTGGTTGATTGGAAGATTTTGGAATGATACTTGGACCTTGTTTTTCGCATGATTGACCATCGACCATTATCTTTTTTACTTGACCTTCAAGTTCATCTGACGCAGCTCTTTTTACTACACGTCCTGTTGCAGTTGAAACTATCTGTTGTTCTATTAATAGAAATATAAGCTTATTATACCATCAACTCTTACCTTATTATCAACTATAATTTTGGATAGTTCTGAGAAAATATTTGTGTTTGTTGTTGAGTCTATTGTTCAAATGAACATAATATAATACAGTTTTGAAAAATTAATCTAGCACGATACTTACTTGACGATTGAGACATTTTGAAAGAATGAATTCAGAGATATACTTGTATGTGTATATTAGAAAATCTACAATAGACACATATCGTTATTCAAATTCTAGCAATAGCTTAGATTACAACAATATTTTTTGATTTCATTATTTAAGTATTGCTGTGATTGTTGTTATATATATAAGTATTACAAGAAATGAGAATTATATTAGAAAATCCAAATGAATAATTTGAATGATATTACTAAATCCAATTTACAGTCACATCGACCAATTAAACAATAGAAACACGTTCATGTTTTAGATGCAAAAGAGAAATTATCTGAAAATCATTAGTTCTTCTTGGTTGCCTTCCTATTGCTGAACGATAGAATTTATACAAACATTATCAATAGAAAACAAGATATACAGCATAGAGAAAAGATATATAGCATAGAGAACTTAGTGGATATTGATAATCTGATACATAGTTCGCAAGTTTTATTTATATTGCAATAGTTGCGGACAGACCATAGACATGAATTTCTCTTGAAGTTGAAAAGTGTCAACGTTGTGTACGAATAGCCGACGAAATTCTTTTGTAGCAATTTGAATTTCACCATCTTCATCAATATACTGTTGATATTCAACACGATACAGCGGTATCTCATCCTGGGCCATCAGTGAATCGAAATCACCGTCGAAATCAGTAGGTTCTAGGAAGTCGAATCCTCTGTTACAATATTTTGCTATACGTGTGCACACATATTTTGGAGTTCAAGCATGTAGATTGTAGACAATAAATGATTTTGTTGCAAGACCTTCTAAGAATGAAAATGTCAAAACGATTTTATCTCCTAAAAATCTCACACATGAAGTTTGTAACCAAAAATTCATTGAAAGATATAGAAAATTACCGGTAAATGCTACTTGACAAATATCCATGTCAAAATTGTGAAGAATATGTGAAAGCTGGTTTTTAGAATTTCCTATAACTGCCCAAGTGAAGTTAAGCCGGATATGGCTAGGTAGAAATACATTGTAATTAGGTGTTCCTGGTATTATTTCTACTTTTATTTCGTTCCGTAAATCTTGTGAAACCATTTTATTAAGGTTATTGACGGTAAGGTCTATTGATTTCTTAAAACCTAATATATCATTCACATAATAGACTAAGTTGACATCTTGCTGCATAGTATCTGGGAACGGTGATCGACAAAGTGCATTCAGAACACATCCTCCAACAATCACCCATTTTGAGAAGTCTATTGCTTCTAACCATGCATCTGATGAAAAACGAGTAGCCAGATTCTGTTTAAACTCTTCCATTGTACGCACAAATGTTATATTCGACCAACAGTTTTGATCTTCATTCTTATTAAAATATGTGTCAACTAAAACGAACTATATGTATCAACTTTTAGATGTTATATTTTTCATTTTCTATTTTTTACCTTTAAACAAATTTTTCTCATGATCATTTAATAAGCGCTCCGAGCCAATTGTATGACTGTACCACTCGTAATCAAGCAGTCCGAAATCTGCATTGTACCAAACGGTGTTGAACGGTAAAAGTCGACAATAGCATTTAAAAAGAGAAGTTTTATAGACTTGACATAATTTTGAAAATCCTTCAATACTAAAGCATGGGTGAATATATAAACGTTCAAACGGCTCGATGACAGACGAATAGCGCTTGGAGACTACAATAAGTTGTTCATCATCGATCTCACAGTCCTCCATGAAATTTTCAAATATAGCTCGTGGTAGCAAAATTCTCTGATGACCACAGAATATTTTGATCAATTCAATAAAATGATGATCTAATGTTTTTGCAATTGACCAAAATTGGTTGCTATTGTTCACTGCTTCGATAAAATTGGTCGCATCTATTCCATCAAGGAACGTTAATAGATGGCATCCGACAACTTGATTAAGATGAACAACTGCATTTTGTTGCGTCCTCCTGTCAATCAATATTTAATCGTTATCAAAGATTGAATAGCAAATATATCTGAAAATGTTTGAAAACAAATGATTGTTATCAAATGATTCAATTAGTATATATATCCGTAATTAGTCCGCTTCGCTCTATTTTTCTTCCGCTTCCATCTTTTTTTTCTTTCCTTTCACATATAGAAGGTGAGTATATGTATATATTTCGTTTTTTTTTCATGTTATTTCTTTCTTATCATTAGTTCATGTTCTTGTTTTATGTGGAAAAAAAACATGAAATCGATGAAACAAAGAGTAATTGAAAACACAATTCAATATTATTCGTTTCTTGCAAGCATTCATGTGAGCTTTTATCTAAGGACATTATTAATATATCTTGCTACGTATCTAGACAACAGGTTACCAGACTAATTTAATTTATCCAATTATTGTTTAAAATAAATCATATATCAAAGCAATTTTGTTACGATGTTTGTCAACATGATCACCTGCTGAGAAGTAATAATAAACATCGATTAGTTTCATTTCTTTTATTTCTCGTTCTTATATTTTCATTTTTTCTTTTTTTCTTTTCCGTCGATGTTATTCATCTTTTCTTTTCTTCTTTTTCATCGATGTTTTTTCATGTTTTCTTCTTATACATCAATTGGACAAATTGCCACTGAACAAATCACTTCGTCACAAACACATTTTTATTTTAACACATATTGTCATGTACCACAACTATCTAGCAAACAACTTTCTATTTCACTATCTCTTTTACAATATAATTTACAATATTTTCCACACATAATACACATTGTCATGTACTACAACTATCTAGTAAATAATTTTCTATTTCACTACGTCTTTTACAATATAATTTACAATATTTTCCATGCTTAATCTACTATTATGCCTTCTTTTAAATACATAATAAGAGCATTAATGTCGCTGAAGGATTCTATATAAAATTCATCACTTTCTTCTTCTTCTTCTTCTTCATCTTCCGAAAAACATAATTCACAACTTTCTTGATATTCAGATGGCTCCCCGCTGATGGGCGATAAAGGACTTGTATACATATTTATGTCGTTATGTAAAATATCTGCAATTATTTCATCATCGAAATTGTTTTCTTCTTTCACATCGAAAGTATGATCTTTGATATCGGATGTTTCTTGTGTAATGGTACCACCATTACATTCTTCATCATGGATACAGATAAAATTAATTGCAACATTTTGCCCATGGTCAACAGGAAGTTGAATAACTACTGTTGGCATGGGCGAAACAATCGACATTAGTGCATTCATCTATAATCAAAGTTATGCTTTAATTTAAAACAGGGTATTCGAATACTAGTACCTCGTTAATTTGAATATGTTGAGACGTTGTTAAAATTTAGATTTATATTGAAGTATTTTGTTAGTAGGTATCTAGAAATACAGATGAATAATCGATGCAAAAAGAAATGTTAACGCGACAAATTAACAATTGCTAAGTACTCATCAGCCAAATTTCTGAGTATACATAAAACTCAATAGCTGTTGTGTGTTTTGAGTCAACTTATTCCTATCAGAATATGAATAGAATGATAATCAGAGCATCGACATGCAGCTTATATATTGATGAGATATTCAACGGTCAAAATTCAAATAAATTACATGTTTTTCTGGAGAGAAAAATCAACGTCATTTGTACTCTCTAGCAATTATTATCTTTCTGTTCTTGATATGTTTAGTGTTTGTGATTATATAAACACATTTGCCTAGCAAAATATGAAAAATGAAATAATCGCTGATTTTAATCAGTTTCACTGACATTGTCAAAAAATTGAAATGGCCCAGATATCTTCTCTAACGATTTTGAAGAAAACAAACAATCAATTTAACTTTTTATTCAAATTTATTTTTTTATCATGTGTTCACATATCATTTAGTCATGTGTACTAGTTGACCTATCATACATTCACTTTTCACTTGACCATATGCATTATTTCATCTATTATGTGTTCGTTCTTTTGATATACATTTAATTATCAAAAACATATCAGACTACGACATCATTACACTTTCTATCATAAACAAAACATGCATCCGAAGAATAACATCAATCGTTCATTAGCAGCACAAGTCAAACAAATAAAATGACACTCAATAGTTTGATTAAGTGTTCAAAAAAATGGTATATATACATAAATTTTTAGCTGAAAAAAACGTCTAAAAGTTTTTGTACTGCATAATTGTCTTTAACAACGAATTCGTCGTTCATCCACCACCATATGTTCAATTTTTCGATCCGTTCATCTACTATAATAAGAACAAGCGTAAATAAAATATAAAAGCGCTCACGAAAAATGAAGGAAACATACTCTCAGCTATTTTTATATATTGTGCCATTATTTGCTCTGAAAGGCGGCGAATGAATGTTTTGAAACGGTTCTATGTGAAAAAGTGCAACATCTAATATTCATATAAAAGTTTTTTTTCATACCACATTGTCAAATTTATTGAGACGGTTACTAAATGCATAGCGAGAGAGATTGATAATCTGTTTTGGTGGAAATGGTCGAAATGGAGATTCGGAATCCATATGAATAGATGGGTGATATCGAACCAGCGAGATTCCTTTTATTGATTTTGCTGCTCGAAGAGCAGCATATGTTTCTTCTTCTTTTCGAAAAAAAAGGTAGAATATTGGTTTGTTATTGTTTGAATTCTTTGATGGAACGCGACGACATTTATAATATTTTAATTGTTGATGGAACCAACCGCACATATCATTGTCAGTTATTTCATTATTAGTTCGATTATTTAAAACTAATCTGCGTTCCATATTTGAATGTACTGAAATCAAAGGTGAATTTAACAATAGATTTAAAGTTAGCTCAAAAACTGAAATAATGAGGGTGTGGGTGTGAGTGTGGGTGTGGGTGGGTGTGGGTGTGGGTGTGGGTGGGTGTGGGTGGCTGGCTAGTGTGGGTGTGTGGGTGTGGGTGTGGGTGTGGGTGTGTGGGTGTGGGTGTGGGTGGGTATGGGTGTGGGTGTGGGTGTGGATGTGGGTCGGTATGGGTGTGGCTGGGTGTGGGTGTGGGATGTGGGTGTGGGTGTGAAGGCGTAGCTGTGGCTGTGGGTGTTAGTGTGGGTGTCTGACAAGAAGCAAATTCACGCTGGTACCTACACTCACCCACTCACACCCAAGTTCACACCCACACCCTCATGACGAGGCGATAAACTAATGCAAGCACTGTTGAGAGCGACCTGCAGATATGTTCTAGTTTGATGCAATCATCGTCAACGAGCGGTCTTCAATTTCATCTCCTCTTTCGGGGAATGTGTAAAAAGCCGTACTTTTTCGGGCAGCTGCATCAGCAGGTTGTTATTTTCTTTCTTTGTTTGCATAAATAAAATGAAACGAAATACAGTGGTTTTTTCCTCTTTTAATCACCTATGGCAAAAACAAAATGCAGTGCATATGTTAATAACATCACTCGTTCTCTGTTTACTTTTACTTTCATGTTGATTTTTCGATCCTTGCGCTCGCTTCTTTTTCTCAAATTAATTGTTCTTGTTTGTCTATAGCGAAAACGATTATTTCATTTTTCGAAACAATTCAGTTTTGTTTTTCGCTTTCAACGTACATTAAAGGACGAACATCCTCAAGTTTTCTTTCAAAGTAACCATCTGCTTCAATATACTATTAATATAGTGAGTTGTGCATTCGATCTCTTATCAATGTAACTGTAATGTTTTGCTGAGCAGCAGTTCGACATACGCTGACAGTTAACTTTAGCAAGGAAACGACTTCCAAATGGATTATTTCCTTAGAGTGAAAGGATAGGACCCAGAAATGGAAATTCACTTGTACCTGTCCGGCTGTCTTTAATGCAGTTACCAGATGATAAGTATAGGAAAAATAGCCATAAGTATGGAGAAAACAGCCGTAAACATGGCAACAATGGGATTCCATGAACGATACTCCCCAGGCAAATGCTCTCCCAACACTTATTTCCCAGTGACACTTAGTCCTAGGACCATAACTCCCCGACCAGTTGCATCGCTAGTCGTACCTAGCGGAACTCTTATTGATTGCAAGTGCAAAATGGTGTTGGTATGAGTAAATCGAGATCTCAATCCATAGACACCACACATCCTCACTCATACAGATACTCAGCTCCATCCTCAGCCACTCCGACTTGCACACCCACATCCTCACCCTCGTCGACACCCTTACCCACACCCACACCCTTTTTCGACCCGCTAATAGACTATGTTCTACGGTGCCCTAACTCCCAACATCATCAACATTGTGCGAACAATTTTCCATGGAATCCTGCACGAAATTCATAGAATTGCCCTTTTTTCCAGAAAATGGTAAACTTGCTATGAATTCACTGCTTAATCAAAAGTGAAGGATTAGATAAAGTGTTATTTAAAGCTCCTACGCTCGGTGGCGACTTATTTTCGCCACATTTTTCTGCGAATCATTTCCGCTCATTAACTAATACCATTTTTGCTACATAGAGCTTTGCAAGTACACGAGAAATATGACTGGGTTAAGCAATTGTTCGAGTTGATTATATTAGTCATACCCTCCAGAGACTTCAAAAATAACAAAAAACACGAGTTTTATATCAAAAATACGAAAAACACCGTAATGTTGGTGATGAAACGAACATTAATTTTGACGTACTTCAAATTCATCGACTGCAAGCAACATTTTAACGAAAAAAATGCAGCGACTGTGATTTTGAATCAGCGTAACAGATTTTAATTGATGAAAATGGCCGCTTTAATCAGTGAAATTGGAAATACACCAAAATGAGTTTTCGTTTCATCATTCAAAATGGCATTTATTTATTTTTCAAGTTACTGGATTGAAGCTTAGATACTCTTTCTATCATAAAACATTCATGATAATTTCGAGTTCTTAAACTGAGCATATAGTTTACTCAAAATTTCGAAAAAAAACAATACAAGCGTCGGGCCGGCCCGACCCGACCAGCCCAATGGTCTTGGCAGCTCAACCTGCCCTGCCCGACAAAAAAGTTTCATTGGGCCAGGCCGGGCCGGTCCATCGGGCTGGGCGGCCCGTTTCGAGCCCTGATACACAACGAGATTGACGCTAATATCAACGTTCACACACACCTACCCACCCACCCTTTTGAAACGTTGGATACTAGCTTTGTTGAAGACTGCAAAGCAGTATATAACACCGAAAGAGTCGAATATACGGTCGAGGATCAAGCGTGTCACACAGACGAGCGTTACTTGTAATCAGCTATGTTTCTATTATTGAATGAATTTATTTCACGCATTCTCAATGAGCACAAATCTTTAAATTCAAATGTTCATAGTTTTAATTGTTGTCGTTTCAATTAGGTGTTATTATAATAAATTGGATTGAAATATAGTGATATACGACTATGACTGACAATAGTGTTGAATCGAAAACACTGACTAAAGCATCGAATGAATCCAAACCTTCGTCTAGCCGACGTTCACGTGCGCAAGCTTCACAAAATCTAGCCTCATCTGTCGCACCCACCTCTGATCAAGATTTGCAAATTTACATACAAGATATACCAACCAATTTTCCAGAAGATGAGCTTGAGGTATTGATTAAAACCCGTATCGAAGCTACCCAACGTTTAAAAATTAATGATATTAAATGCTACTTAAAACTTGGTATAGCTGTAATTCGATTAATGAATGAAGAGGACAAATCACATCTTATTTCTACTGTTGAATCCATGGTTCTTGATCCAAAAACTAACACAAGCATAACATTTGTCAACGAAGTCGACCTTAATTCTTATGTAGTCGTCGATCGAAATGTACCGGAAATTCCTTCTACCGATGATGTATCTTTTCGTTATATACAATCGTTTAAGACATCCGAACCTCGTCCATGTAAACCGATATCAATCCAATTTCCAAACATATTTTGTATATCATCACCAACACTAGAAGAACTTGCCAAAGTGGCTAATGCACCAGAGTTTAAAATCAACACTGTTTTTGCTGTTGTTTATCCACGTGCTGATTGTAATTTTTTTGAAGATTTGCCGCCAAATACTAATGATGACAAGCTTTCATCAGCCATTGCAGCTCAAATCGAAGAAACAAAACTCGCCCCAACATCCTTTTACGTACAGTATAATAAAGAGACAGGTAATGCAATTGTCTTGGCAACAAAGTCTAACAAAAAATGGATGAAGCAAAATTTCTTAACAATCGAAGGACGAAATATTCCGAAAAAGATTAAACTTGCTTATCGAGTTGTTGTTTCTCCTGTACCTCCTGATTTTGATATTGATCTTATCCTTAATCACAAATTATTTACATATCGAATAGTGAGACATAGTCATATCAAAGATCGTCTCATTATAGAACTCGATGATATGAAGAACTATGAAAAATGCCTAGATATTGGAGCCCTGCGCATAGGAAAAGTGACCATGAATATTACGCCACATAGTATTGCTAATGACCAAGATGCAAGTGAAATTGATGCTGATAATTGGTATGAAACAAAGATGCATGAGATAAAGCCTGATATAGTGACTATCATGAGTGATCATCAACATCCAATATTTCGGTATAAGTGGAATGCAGAAAATTGGCTTGAACAAATGAAAAAGTTGGATGCGACAGATCGACATTTAAGAAAATATGATCTCGATCGACATTTATTACGAGTTACAGTTATGTTGAATACAATTGGTGTTCTTCGAAAGAAAAAATACATTGTAGGCGATGAAGAAGTCACATTAAAACTTCAACAACTGCAAACAATTTGCTATAATCATAGATCAAAATTATTCGATGGAAAAACAATATCTGAAACAGAATTGAAGAAGACACCATATTCATCGACAAGTGTTACCGTATCTAATGAAGATTGTCTTGTTCTTTATGAGAAATTAGTCAGCGAAAGATATCGACCTTTATTATTGAATATGGCTAGTGCAACTAGTCCAGGAGGTGGATATAGAAAAGGAGATGGAGCACAAGAAGAAAATCTTTTTCGTCGTTCAGATTATTATCAAAGTCTTGACCTTGAAATAGCTGATAACGATCGATCAGAACGACGTTACTGTACATCAAAATGTGACATAAAACGAGCAACTGGTATTTTCGAGTTGTATCCAATGGAAGAATTTGGAGCTATTTACACATCTGGTATAACTGTATTTCGTGGAACAGAAGCTAAAGGTTATCCTTATATGAAAAATCCTTTATATAACGTTTGTTCTATTGCTATGGCTGCCTATCGAGAACCACCATTAACTAAAAAGAATATGTTAGAAAATAAATTTTCAACAAATACATACAAAAAAATCGAAAATATATTTGCCATAGGTTATCAACGTAACCATAATTGTTTAGTATTATCAGCTCTTGGTTGTGGAGCTTTCAAAAATCCACCTGAACATGTTGCTTTACTCTTCAAATCAATTATTTATCAATATGCCGGATATTTTGAAAAGATTTATTTTGCTATTATTGATGATCATAATACAGGCAATCGAATTAATCCAAGAGGAAATTTTATTCCATTTAAAGAGGTACTCGATGGTTTAATTGTATATCCACCAAAAACAATCCGTGTCAATGGAGCTAGTGGACCATATCGAATTCTACAGAAATCAGCAGATGGAACAATAGCTCTAAGTGATTCATATATTCAAAATCTTCCTCCTTGCCATCATGCTACTCAATGTCGTGATATAAAAAATAATCAGCATAATACTAATTTTTCTCATCCGCCTGTTTGTTTACATCAACAGACAAACTTGACGTGTGACCAAGTGGATGATGAAGTTCATATGTTTACATTTTTTCATAGAATAAAATGTAAACATGGTGGTGAATGTACAAGTAAAGATCCAGATCATTTGAATGATTTTATTCATCCGGAATTTTGTGAGAATAAATCTAATTGTATGGATGTTAGTTCCGAACATTTATATGCTTGTCGACATTTACCTATTTGTCGAGATGGAGTTACTTGTTTGGAATATCAAAAAAAAGAACCTGAACATTTAAATGCTTATCGACATTGCAAAACGGTTTGTCCAAATGATAATTGTTGTCCAAAATTTTATAATAAAGAACATATTAAAAATACAATTCATTCATTTCAAGAGCCATGTCCCTTTACACCATACAATTGTTCAATGTTTGTTCAATATCTTCACGCTGCTGGAAAAAAAATACCTTCCGAGGTCGAAAGTCATTGTTTTACACATTCTCATGTTTGTCAATTTGGTCGTCTATGTAAGACAACAGATGGTGGACATTACGGAACATCAATTCACATCGCTCGAAAACGTTGTCCTGATCTTGATAAATGTTCAAGAATTGGTGATGAAAATCATTTAGAATCATTTACTCATCCAGGTATTCGAGATATTCGTCTCTTGTGTCGTAATCCAGGATATCAATGCCCAATGCGATTCGATGATAAACATTTAAGAACATACCGACATGCAAGAGATTTCAATCATCTTAGTGTTGCTCCGCCTAGAAATCTTAATGCTTCGATCAATTTCTTTCATAATCAAGGTAATATAATAAAAACAGTGAATAGTTATGTTGACGTGTCGAACTGGAAAAAAGCAAAGGTTTCGGAAGATATACTCAATTGGATACGAGCTTTGCAACCTGTTCATCGATGTGGACCACAAATATTTGCATCGATTCTGGTTCATGGTCATGTTATGAGTCGAGACTATATGAGTGAATTAATAAAGCCAAGATGCGTTACCAATGCAGTCATGCAACATAGTCAAATTCGTTCAATTTTTCGTCGATATAATGCTCCTTCAGTGAAACAACATACAAAAGATCTCATTAAACTTTTGGTTCGCAGTGAATTTTTAAAGGCAGGATCTGCTGAAGTCCCTTCATTAGATGCTGATCATGGCAATCAAGTTAATATTATTCAAAAAATGTTACAACCACCACTTGACAAAAACGATCTTCAAGCTATTCATGATCGAACAGCTAAAATAGTTGTGGCATCAATTGAATTAAGTACTCATCTAGCTGGTATCGGATTTGATGTCGATAAAAAATTAGGAACAGATAAACATGTCTTTAGTATATTAGGACCACATTGTGGTACTTATTATGGTGATATTGTTATTACATTTAAACAAGAATTAATGTTTCATCCTGACGCTAATTTTTCCTTTCAAGCCGGAACTAGTTTTCATAGTGGACGAGTTTACTCTTTTCGTCCATGGTGGACAGATCCAACCAGTGAAGATGAACGCATTGAACATTTTCATCATTCAAAATTACATTGTTCATATCCTCGATATGAATATGCAGCAGCTGCAGAATTAGTTGCATGTACTGGTAAAACCAAACAAACGATGGATGTTGATCTTGACAGTATTATTCGACAATGGAATCAAGTTGATTCTCACTATGTATTCGAAGGACATTTACCACCACTTATTCCATTGGATTATATTGAAAATGTTTATATACCAAAAAATCTTTTTGAATCATTACCCAAAGAAGCTCAAATATCAGCTAAGAAAATCTTTCAGGAATCATTGATTCGAGCTGAATATGATGTCGATCTTAGTTTAATTAAACCAGGTACTACAATTCCATTGGATCCAACACGTCGACCTTATTTAAAATATATACTTGAGAAACTTAGTCAAAAGATAGACGAGAGAATAAAAACACCACATATTTCACGAGGTTTTGTCATAACAATTCCAGGAACAAGATTTGTAAAGCATATTGTTTTACCAATGACAATAACTCAATCATATAATTTATATTGTCTTAATAGAGGTCAACCAGCAACCAATATTGAATCAACTTATATATATTGGCAAGCAATGGATGGTGATATGATGTTAACTATAACTAATGAAAAAATTGATCCTGATGGTAAAGATCAACCTAATCTTCAATGTCTTATTTGTTATGTTGCTGGAAAACCATCGACAACTACAGAAGACTATCGTGAAGAATATTCTTATTTGAATATTGATAGTCCATATCATCATTCACATAACGTCCATTCGGTTAATTTTAAGGCTAAATCAAATTGCTTTTATCGTGGTTGTAATACAGATGATTTCTTTACTTTTTGTTTAAAAATAATTTACAAAACAGGTGAAATTTCATTAACACATGCTGGTCCTAATGGAATCTATAATCATGAAAATATTCATTGTCAATTCAAAAAATCAGATGTTGATTTGTTAAAACTAAAGTATATTCATATTAGTGCCGGAGATCAAGATGTTCCCATACGAAATTTAACCATTAATCATGAACCAGTTAAAGAATTACATCCAACTTTTGATAAAGAATTTAAGTTAGACACGTCGGCATTGATAAAAGAGCATCGAGCATCATTTCATGATGTTGGTAGCATGGATCATAAAGTCAAAGTTTTACATACTCCTGATGTTACCTCAAAGCCTCCTATGAAACGAGCGGCATCTACAACTGATTTAAGAAAGAAAGCAGTTGATCCAACACCAATAGAAATACCAAAACCAGATAAAAGGGGTTTTTTAGGAAGATTAAAATACGTCTTTTTCGGTCCGACTAAACATGACGACGACCCCCGAATCCAATCATCCCCATCCGAATTGCACGAAGATTATATACCGAAATCCGATTCTTCGTCATACAATCCATCAAAATTGGAATCTCCTCCACCGAAACCACGAAAATCCCATTCTTCTCCATCAAAACCATCGAAACCTGATTCATCTGGATCAAAACCATTAAAAGCAAATCCACCACCGTTGATTTCATCGACATTGCCTCCTTGTCAAGATTCTATCTATTGTCTCCTTCACAATGACAAAGATCATATTGATAAACATTCTCATCCTTGTCGTTTTAATGAATTGTGCCGAAATCCATCGAGCGAACCTCATCTTATTCACAAGCGACTTGATATTTCGATGTGTTTAGAAGATCGAAGTTGTTCCGAAAGATCAAATCCTGTCCATCGCGCAGAATATCGTCATTCAGGTTTACCTGATTATTTACTTCCATGTCGTTTTCAAGAAACCTGTTATGACAAAACTCCTGATCATCGGATGAAATATTTCCATGGCGAAAAAATACCTTTAATAAAGAGTAAGTTTGTTCTCTGATCCTAGATTTATCTCTTTATAGATAAATATTGTTTTGTTTTTATTTATCCAGAAATTAGTACATCAGCAAGTCTACGTGCCGCTGTTGCATTGAAAGTTAAATTAACTCCATGTAAATTTGGAAATGAATGTCGATCTATGAAAAATCCTGAACACACAGCAAGGTTTTCTCATCCTTTATCTTGAATGAATTCATGTTAATCATTTATATATAGACAAGATTTTACAAAAGAAAGAAAATATTCAGTTCACACATTATCTTTTATTCTCCATCTTTTTATCCAACATTTTCAATTATTTTACAAATTCTCCTTCTAGAAAATGATTAATTAATGAATTGATTCTAATTTTGAAAATAAAGCATAAATATAAAACAAGAACTTCTGAAGATTGGATCGAGTTCAGTTTCAGTTTATTTATTATTCTAAAATATGTTCTCATATATCAACATAGGATTAAAATGGAGCAACTTGAGACGAAACCTCGTTTCCGACTATTTAATTCTATAGTTGTTGAAATAAATACAGCGCTACATTGTTCTGTTCTTTATCGAGGTTTTTAAAGCTTTGTTAGAAGATCGAAATTTAGAAAAGCTACAGAAATTATTAATGTTACATAAGAACATCAATTGAAACAATATTTCTCTTTTTTCATTGGATGATAAAATGTTGAAATGATTTTCATGAGTCTATGGGTTTTTTATTTCAAATTGAATTTTGAAAAAAAAAAATAACACCCCATTTTTACCAAGGCAGAGGGACTAAGGGGACTAAGAACTTCTTTAAATTCAGAATTCAAGAATTCTTTGGTTCCATGACTCCTGTTCCTTATAAAAAAGGGTACTATGTATACATACATAAGATATATAGAGTTCAGTCGACATATGTTATATCTATAATACCTTTTTTGAGGGTGGGCTATGCGAACTAAGGGGACTAAAGGGACTAACTAAGGGGACTAAGCTGACTAACTAAGAGTGTGGGTGGGCGTGTGGGTGTGGGTATGGGTGTGTGGGTATGGGTGTGTGGGTGTGGGTGTGGGTGTGGGTGTGGGTGTGGGTGGGTGTGGGGTTTGCGTGTATGGGTGTGGATGTTGGTGGGGGTGGGTGGTGGGTGGTGGGTGTGAGTGTGGGTTTCAAATAAATCTCATCCACACCCATACCCACACCCGCACCCACAACGACACCCACACCCACAACCACACCCGCACCCACACCCATACCCACACCCGCACCCACAACGACACCCACACCCACACCCGCACCCGCACCCGCACCCACACCCACACCCACACCCACAACCACACCCACACCCGCACCCGCACCCGCACGCATACCCACCCACACCCACACTCCACACCCATACCCACACTCTAATTGAATGTGTTTTATAATATGACACTTCAAAAATTCTCCAGTGTTTATCATGCTATCTTTCTCTTGACGTATTCAGTCAGCATAGGTGGTTTGACTCACTGAACATATTTTATCAATCTGCTTAAATCTTGAATCAAAACTGATAAATAGAAGATAAACAGACTGAATCCATGAGAAACGTACCACGTTTACATCGAATTTCTGAGAATTGGCTGAAAATTTTAGGGTTGTAGAGCTCAATGAGCTGATCGTTGTGGTAATAAATTATTATGGGTTTAATTATGAATTAGGGTCGAAATGAGCAAAATACATTTTTCAAAAATTCCGGAGAATCATGGTCAAAGTGAAAAGTTCTCATTTTTGCGAGAACATTTTCTGTTTTATTTCAAAAACAAAATGGAAGATTCTATATATATGTTCTGATAGTCCGTACTCAGCTCTATCGAATCATATATGATTCAAAATATTTCCATTTTTTAAGAAAAATTTTTAATCGGATCACAACAAGTTCACTCCAACACAAACTTTATCTTCTAATAAAAAACCCCTTCCGAATTTGAGTGAATTGTGGTCTAATAGGTTTTTTAGAGCGTCGAACGCTCAATCTTGTGGCATATAGAGCTCTGCAACCGGTTTCGATTTTCGTGCATTACAGAGCCAAAATATTTTTATCTACTGCTGTTTTGTGAAGGTTTTAGTTCATGCTTTTGGACTTTTCAAAAGAAAAACTCAATAAACTTATCTGAAACTTTAACCTCAAAGAAATTTCACTTATTAGGGTGGTAGTTATAAAAGATTTATTGACATTATTTTCTCTTTCATATCATTCTACGATAATAAAATGTCACAAGTCACGTTTGAACTCTTGATTGTTCAGAGAAGAGAGGTCATGGGTGTGCGTGTGGGTGTGGATGATTCATTCATAGAAATATCCACACCCACACCCTTTCTGAGCTGATTAAGCAAATGGGACAACTATTGCAGGTATTAGTGAAAACAGTGCGAACGTATTGAACATTCCATTTTCGGTTGCACTTAATTCTCAACAAAATATATATGTTGCAGACATGGTTAATAGTAGAATACAAAAATTCATAAGATACTAATCACACATATTTTTCAACTTTATGTAATTTCGCTGTTCTTATATTTTGGATTTATTTATAAGCTTCGAATAGATATTATTTTTCTAATTTTTATTTTCTTGTTTAGTATTATTTCGTATTAGTTCAAGTTTTAAAAGATATGAGTCATTACTGTTGTGTGTAAACATATATTATGAATTGTTGGCATTAATTTGACTTTCAATAAATTCAGTAAATGCATTATAAACTTCGGCTTGAGATTTCAGTCCCTCATAATTAAATGTTCCACTTGCTGATTTTCCATTGATTTTTTCCAAACGAAAAATTGGAATGTAATTTGAAGCACTATATACACATGTGTTATCACCTATTAAAGATAAATTCAAAATAAAATATGGAACATTTATGATATTATTATGAAAATTATACCTTTTTGTAATGTGAGTATAATATTATTGCCACATTGCGTATAATTACCGGTTGTTTCAACAGGGCGCCAACCATTCCATACTTCATCACTATTATCACCAGAATTCGATTTCTGTTCATCTGACGTTGTTGACATTGCTATTGTTCCTTAGTACAAATAATTTTCTTGTTCGAAAGGAATATATTATTGAATACAATGTTAATATTTCTACAATCACGATTCATTTATATATGCCATAAAGCTGGCAAATGATTCACTAACACAATCTAACTGTTATTTTTCTCTCGAGTAATGATTGCAAAACCATTATGAACACAAAACAGAATGAATCATAGAGACAGTTTTCAAATCAACAGAAAAAAAAAAGTAATAATAATTTAAATGAAATGTCTGGGATTACAAGATTCATCTATAGTGAGGAATGAAAAAATAAAGAATATTTTGGAGAGAAGAGGAGAAAACCGGGGCGCAATGTCAATTTGTTCGTTTATTGAAAATTGGCATCATATCTGAGTTTTTCGTACCTTGATACCATATTTAAATGACTCAGTTTTGTTCTGCAAATCTCAAACTGTTCGATTCGATGAATCATCGCTGATGATTCAGATTATTTTTGCTTGTGATATTTTTATGATTTCTGTTTGTTCTAGAAATAAAATCGGTCGACATTTTTTTGAGATGCATCAAAAGTAAATGACCTAGTAGATCTTCTGTAACAGAACAAAAGTCACTTTTCATGAGAATGATCAAAGTTTAGATGCATGCAGGGACGACAAAAGTCTGCGATTCAGTCTCCTATAAACAACAATTTTTTCAATTCAATCAAGTGTGATGCCAGTTATTTTGTATGAAAGAGTATGTCAATACATCAGAACCCATCTTTTAAAATAAACTTGTTTCAAATAAGCTGCATGTAGAATATCTTCGCAAAAAAATATATCTTTAATCTGCATTGACTTGATTATTGTAGGACATACATATTCAGAATTTTGTTTTCATCTAAGGTTAATTTGATAGAAGTGAATTTCCAAAGAGAACCAAAAGGGTGTATATGTGGATGTGAGTGTGGGGTGTGAGTACGGGTGAGTGTAGGTGTGGTTGGGTGTGTGAGTATCTCATTTTCCTTCTTACATTGACACCCACACCCCTAATCGGCCCGAACAACACTATGTTTTGTCCTTACAATAGCGGAGAAAACCTTCCTTCTGGCGCCGATATTAGTAACAGTAATAATTGTATATCTCTGCTCAGGAGGCCTAGACAACCGAACCCTTGTAGGGTGTTTAATAACTCACTGAGGTCTATCGTTTGGGCATGTACCCGATTCAAAAGCGAAGGGACAGTTGGGGACCTTCCCTCGTGAGATGGTTGAGCAACTCTTGGATTACAAACTGCACGTTAACAAAGTATTGCCCAATAAACTGGTCTTCTACAGAGATGGTATGTGCTTTCTTTTTTTAAATCAAATACTTAATGAAATGCATCGTTTAGGTATCGACGATGGTCAATTTGGGAAACTTGTCGCCCATGAAATTCCAGCGATTCGCAAAGCTTTTGATCGTAAGTGATTTGTTTAAAAAATTTCAGGCAAGGATCAAACTCACGTGAGATTCAGAATTCGAGCAAAATCCACTTTGTACATTTTAATGGAACGATCTACTCAACATAGTCATTAGTGACTCTCGAATATTCAATTGACAAAGGACACATTCTGTGCGCATTCTTCGTTTCAAATAAGCGATTCATACGAATAATGAGATGGGAACAAAACATCGATCGATTTCTGAGCAGATTGATTGATACGACAATCGTTCATCCGTATCAAAACAATTTCTACTTGAACTCACACAAAGTTTTGCAAGGTGTCAATCGGCCATCGCTCTACCATGTACTCCTGGACCAAATCGGATTCACAGCTGATGAATTGCAGCTATTGACGTATCATCTATGTTTTACCGATCCTCGATCATTGGCTGCTGAAGCCATTCCATCGGTGGTACATCAAGCCGATATCGCAGTATTGAAAGCACATGATCTGTTCTACAGTGATGAATGGAAAATGTCTTTTGTTCCCACAACATCCTTCTACAATAAATACATGAGCTCGTTCTTTCTAGTTCATCGGCAACGAGTGAAGGTGGTTGGAGTCAACCGTTGCGAAATCCAACTTGACCTATCAGATTCTCAATGTACATGAGAGCCTCAAGAATCGACCAGTATTCGGCTAATCGAATACCCATCGACCCCTCCAAAATTGGTACCAATTGGAGATCTGTGTTCGTTTTGGTGAAGGCTCATCCGCTTGATCATTAGTTTTCTTTCTCTTTTTAAATCATTTCTATCAATACCCCGTATTTCATATCTTCCCTATCAGCGAAAGATTACTTTTCTCCATGTGCTTCGTGCTTTGAGTATCATATTTTTATTTTTCCAAATATAAACAAGAATTTTCAACGGTACACATCGTGCTTTTTCGCCAAAGTTAGCAGATAAGCTCATCGTAGAGTTGATCAGACAGAGATGGATGATTGAATTTGATCGATTTCTGGATTTTATGATATTGGTCAACTGTAGAGACCGAAAATTTTTTACGCAATCTTATATCTGCAACCGTGAACTATGGCTAAAATTTGAGGTCGAAATATTGAAATTAATTTTTCGGCTATTTTCATTGGCTACGCAATAGGAGTTTTCCGGATTTTCGAAACAAGGGGTTGAAAAATTTATTTCTTTGCATTGTCGGGTTCAAATCATAGTAGGAATTTATCCTGAAAGTTTCAGGTCTCTAAACGACCCGTGGACGAAATCGATAATTTTGTAATGGATTTCTGTTGAGAAATGATGAATGCACTTTGTCATAGAGAGAAATTAATTTATATCAATTGAAATAGAAAGTATGGGAAAAGTACAAAAAATAAACAAAGAGACGGCGAGGCAGATGCAGAAACAAGGATCATTGGTAGCCAATCGTTAATTACGAGTTGATTGTTCTCGTTGACTTTATTTGCCTGATTCAAAAGTCGATCTACCCATCTCTTTCCATTGAGTGTTCGAGGCAATTTCACAAATTTTGTTCCCTGAAACGGTTGATTGGATACAACGACAATGGTAGGACCTTTCTTATAGACATAAGTTTCCTTGTCAATATAGAGTGTCTCTTGATGGGACATGAAAAAAAGATGATTATATTCGGTTTTCAATGACGAACGAATTCGGTTAAGTTGACCCAAATATTTGTAGATCCAGTTTGAACGATCATATGAAGATCGCCATAGAGGATCACGATTCCACGGATCGGTTGCTCCGTGAGTTACATTCGGATTTCCTAAGAATGCACACAAAGTTCGATATCGTCAACAAAAAGATTGAGTTGTCTCACCTGTGAAATTCTGTTCTGTACCCATGTAGACAATCGGAATTCCATCACTGAATAGAAGATAGACAAACGCATTCTGAATTCGAATTGGATCTTGAGTATAGTTCAGAAATCGTGCTTGATCGTGATTGTCCAAAAAGACACCACAGAGCGTCGTATCTCTAAAGAATTTCTCATTCTCTTGAACTTGTTTTTCTAAGACATTCATCGGTTGTCGCCATTGAGGATCATCTCGAAATGTGACATTCAAAGCAAAATACAATGGATAATGAAGAACACCGTCGGCGTAAAGTGTGTAATCACCAACATAATCTGTTTCGGATGTAGCTATTTCGCCAATAGAATAAACACTTGATGAACGCGTATAATTTGTCCAGAACGGTTTGGGAACATGACGAAAGGTATCAATACGAATAGCGTCGAATTGATATTTGGCGACTGTGTCACGTATCCAAGAGAAGAGTGTCGATGCGACAAATTCATTTTCGGTATTCAAATCAGGCAACGGATCTTGACGATCGCCAACAGAACAAAACTCGACCTTCAACGAAAAAAAAATGAAAGAGAGATTCAATCGAATAATTTTCACCTGTGTTTGATTGGTGTAATCATCGATGAAACACAGCTGATGAAAATGTTCTGGTCGATTGAAAGGAAAATAATCGGTTGTTAAATTTGGGCCGACATGATTGGCAACTACATCTAACATAATCCAAATATCACGTTTATGTGCCTGTTGAATGAAGTCGATTAATTCTGTCTCTGTTCCAAAATGATGATTCAATTGTTCTAAATGATCTTGCCAATAGCCATGCCAACCAACTCCGTACACTGTCTCACCATCGACATTCGACGGAATCGGTGAAATCCATAGAGCATCGAAACCCATTTCGACAATATAGTCTAGATGTGCCACGGCTGCTCGATAAGTCCCGCCACAATAGTTTCGAGAAGTATTTTCCGACATCGGTTGTTCTGTACATCGAAGAGGAGAGTCATCCGAGGCAAATCGATCAGTGAGCATTTGGTAGATCGATCGAGAACGCCATTCGGATGCATTTCGACAGAAAGCAACCGAGAGAAAGAAATACCAGCAAAAACGCTTCAGCATTGACTTCTATAACAGATTATAATAAAAGTATTTATTACCGAACGTCGTATACAACTTGACTAAGCTCAAGGCAAATACACCACTTATATTTTTTTATGAGACCAATATTCCACAACAACGTCATTGCAAGTACTATTGTCCAATCGGTTGGATTAACACCGTTTTTTCGTACTCTCTTAATGTTTTGCGTACGAATGTTACACCCTCAAAACGACTGACTCCTTATAGAACGTAAATAAATATGATTCACCCGTGTATGGTATCGTTCGATTGTTAAAATACAGTCGCACCGCGGTGTCTTTCGATTCCGAGTCATTTGTGAGTTAAATCCTTTCTTCGTATATCAATTTAAACAAGAATTTTCAACGGTACAGATGGTGGGTATGGGTATGGGTGTGGTTGTGGGTGTAGGCGTCATGTTCCGCACTGATCCTCACTCACAGTCTGATCCACACCCACACCCTTAAATCCAACAGAAGAAAAGGTTTCGATTTATTTATTCTATATACATTTTAATACACCTTATCTTTTATTTTTTACCTATTCTAGATTTCAAGTGTTCAGAAAATTTGGCGAACAAAAGTAAAATCGTGTCAACGAGCATTTCGTCAAAAAAAGAAGAATCAGTCATCGATAATGAACCAAATTACAATGAAAACAATTAAACAACAACAACAAAGTGAATTACTTTTGATAGAATCATTAGGTGTTTCAATGCGTACTATTATTGAAGCTCGTCTAGCGAATATTGAACAACGTGCTCAACAATTGATGAAATTTAGCAATACTATCCATGATGACAATTTCTTCTGACTATCTAATTCTTTCTGATTTCCTTCCTATCTCCTTCACTATAAACAAGAGTATACCATGCGATTTTGTTTTAAAAAATCCTTCATTTCCATTGTTTTTCATGAGATATTACTCACCTAAATAACCTTATTTACTTTTCTTCTTTTAGATATTTCGAAGATTTTAAATCATACCTCTCAGTAATCAAAAAAAGGCAAAATAATAACTCAGTCCTACTTTCATAACGGATCGCTGTCATCAACATTAAAACAACAACACCATATAAGTCATTCTTCATAAAAGTACTCCTATCATTTAATTAATATTTTTCTTTGTGTTCAAGTCTACTACCAATCATACATCAACAAGAATCGAAAAATCCAAAGTATGTAAGATGCTATATTAATTACAAACTAATATTGGAAGATGTCATTTATGATATCTATCTAATTTAATTGTTTTTAATTTTATTATGCAGATATTCATAGCCACCCGTTGATTCTCGTAACTGAGATGAAATTCGGATAGTGGTAGTTAATATTTATACTCATCCTCACCCCTAAATCTATGCCTTTTTCGAAAATTTTGAAATTAAATTTAAACTGTTACAAACTTTTTATATCGAATAATCGTAATAAATCATGTATAATAAAACTCCTGGAAGAAAATAACCTTGTAAAACAAACTTCTCTTCTTGATTTTGCAGTAGAATAAAATAAAGGCACAATCAAAATAATTTAATATCGTTTACTAATTATGATAACTACTAGCGCTTTTTTACCTTTTATTGATTGAATCTATCCTTGTCTCTTAGACCGGTTTTTACTATCATATAGTCACTAAGCAATTTTCTATGGCAAATGAATTAGTAATGAAATAAAATTTCATCTCGACGATGTTTCTTCTCACCTGTATATTTTGCGTGTGGGGCACAGGCAGCTGAATTTTTCTTTTTCTACAATTGTTACTCATAATTGATCGATAGAGATGTAGTAAAGAAAAAAAGTACGGTGACATCAGTATTTTTTCTTATCTATATTTTATGTATGCGATGTTATAGCTGTAACAGTTGAAATAAAGAGAGGTAGGTGTTCTCATCTGTTTTTGCATGTAGAACAAAATATTATCTATTACATTTCGTATAGAGAGACCTGTGAGCAGTAAAAATTTTCTTTTTAACGTATATTTTATTACTCTTAACTAGTCATTGCGAATAAAGGCATAAATGTTGAAGTCTCTTCAAGTACCTTGTCATATTTTGTCTTTGTTAAGGAGCGAAGTTGCCAGAGAATAAAACCTTGAAAGTCAGATATGGGCTCTTAACTATTCGATTTTTTATTTTTCTGCTTTAGATGCCTGCTTTTCCATTTCGAAAATTACTATCAAATAAAAAACAAACTTATCTTGAGAATTTTTTATTGTAGTAAGGACAGATGTGGATAGTTTCGTTCAGTAGTGTCAAACTTGATATTTGAATTCAATTGAAATTTAAGTTTCAACTGAAGTTTCAAGTTTTAAGTTTCAAGTTTCAAGTTTCAAACCGACAGCACTACTGCGATGAGGTATGTGAGTCGATCTTGATGAAACTCCTTTCGCCGCACTCACACCAACTGCGACGATGTGTGTGTGAATGTGTGTGAGTAGATCTTGATGAAACTCCTTTTGCCGCACCCGCACCAGTTGCGAAGTCCTGTCAATTTGAAAGTTGAAAGTTGATATTTCAGTTGAAACTTGAAATTTCAATTGAATTCAAGTTTCAAGTTTGACATATATGGCTTCGTTGAGGGTCAAGCAAAGAGGAAACTACATATTTCTGAACATCTTTTTTTATGTCAAAACCTATTTATTCTCTAGATTTTAAATCAAAGAAATAAATTATTGTCATCAATCTTTAGTGCTAAAAATCTGTTAACAATGGACGATTTAAATCTTGAAGATTTTACTCTCGTTTGGCTTGATCCTATGACAAATGAAATGGATGATGATTATTTATACAAAAAATCTTGTCTACGTTCTGTTATAAACTATTTAATGATATTTAAAGATCCCGATGAATGTATTGATTACGTATTATCTATTGACACAGAAAAAGTATTTTTCATTATATCTGGATCATTTAGTGATTTCATAGTTCCACTTAGGGTGTGGGTGTGGGTGTGTGGGCGTGTGGGTGGGGTGTGGCCGTGGAGTTTATGGTGAGGGTGGGTGTTGATGTTAGTCCTCTCTTGACCAACACCCACATTCACACGTACACTCACACCCACACCCACACCCTCACCCACACCCACACCCACCCACACCCACCCCACCCTCGAGACGAATAATTCGGTCATTGTACTAATGTAACTTAAATGAGTTCCTTTAGGCTTCGTATTACCTGAAATTTTGTATTTTTTGTTTGTTTGTTTGTTATCTATGTTATTAAAACTCATCCTTCTCTACGTAAGTACAGTAGGCCGATTAGTTTTATACTTCAAAATATTGTTTGAAAGTTCGAATTATTCAAAAGTCTTATCTATTATTATCACCTGAACCATATCAAAGAAAAGCAAACTTTTTTTTAATTAGATTAAAATACTCATTATATTTATTTCGATATATTAAATCTAAAACATATCAGTGACATCATGAATGATAATAAACTTTTTTAAGTTATATTTTTAAGCATTTGTGTAGAAATTTTTAGTGTATATTATTTGTTTTTCGTTGTTGATAATATTTGTAAAATTAATGATAAATATTTAGGTAATAATTGTTTATTTAATGATTGTTCATCAAGTGTTGACATCATTTCAATATGACGACAAATAAATAATTCGGCTAAACCTAATACAGATATGCGTGGTAATATAAGAAACTGTTCAATCAATAAAACTAATCAAACATCACGTTTATCTACATGTAGTCCTTCAAGTGTGTACGAAGAATTTTTAATGATATTAATGATAATTTATTTCATTTTAATAAATTATCCCAATTAGTATATATCAATTCAACAAATAAATGACTTGCAACTAATGTACGACCTATAAAACCAAATAAATTATGTATATATGTACATGTATCACTTTGTTCAAATTAAAAAAAATTGATGTGTTATTAATGACGATAGTGTTAATGTTGATGATCACCATAGTTTTTGTATATAATCAACCACATTAAGACTATGTGTTCATAATAATAATAATGTTATATAAAATGATAATAATAATAACTAAGAATATTCACTTAAAATAGTTAAATATGAAAATTTATCAAGACAATGTACAGTTTCATCATGAATTAATAATTGACGAAAATCATTTACAATTGTTCGAAATTGTTTAGCTAAAATAAAATTATAGATCTTATAAAAGCATAGGAATTTTAAAGTCAAATGTTTTTCGGTAGCTCATTGGTAATTAATGAATTGGAGGAAAGTTTTATCTAAAAACTAATGGGTAATGGTGTGGGTGTGGTTGCAGGCAAAAAGTTACTTCTATACACAAATACCCACCCACACCCACATCCTGTTGGCAATAGTAGAGGCTGTTATCGACTGATAAGACATTGCCATCCATCATCCTTTTCTAATAGAGTCCAATGCAATCGAAAGAAAAAACAGTAGGAAAGAACAAAAACTGTTTAAATCCTATTTATAAGTTTTTTTTTCTTTTCTATTATAAATAACGATAATGCAGTTCTTTTTTATGTTTCGTTCTTGTTCTTCCTTGTCTCATTCTGGATGCATGTACACATATTTTACCTGTAAAATTATGTCAGCAGCATTTGTAAAAGAAAAAAAAACGAATGCTCGAGATGAGAAATCCTTGAAGCCGATAGCAACCAGCCAAACAAAAACTAAAGCATCAACATAAAGAGGGAAAAAAATCGAAATATATTTAGAGACAGACGAAATATTTTTTTTGTTTTGTTGATTCTTACAGTGTGCAAATAGGAATCATGTTTTCATTCATATACGTAAATTGAAAAAACTCAAAACACCATCAACATCATCGTCATTATCATTAAAGTAGAGAAGAAAAATTCTAAACCAATGGCTAACAGCTCATCATCTACAACAAGTAAGTCGAATAAGTTATCATCATCAGCAGCAGAAGCAACAACAGTGGTGAGCAGAAATACTACACAGTCACGACCCATTTTTCGGACGCTTCGAAATTTCCTGCTGATATGGCTTGATGCTAATCTAGATAAATCCAAGGACGATTATAAAAAATCAATAGAACATTTACAAAATATTGTAGAAATAGTCACCACATTTACAGATGTTGAAAAATGTATTGATTTTCTAAGTGATATTGAAAATGAAAATGTAGTAATGATCGTCTCTGGTGGGTGTGGATATGGGTGTGGGTGGGTGTGGATGTGGGTGTGAGTGTGGATGGGGTGTGGGGTGTGCGTGTGGGTGTCGGGTGTGGGTGTAGGTGTGTGTGTGGATGTGGAAACCAAGAGACCAACACCCACACCCCACACCCACCCATCCGCACCCACACCCACCCATCCACACCCACACCCACCCATCCACACCCACACCCACCCACACCCACCCACACCCAAACCCACACCCACACCCACCCACACCCACACCCACACCCATACCCACACCCACACCCTTGATTAATCGTGAATATCCTTTATTCAATGCAAATCATTTTTAAGCGTATACAAACAAGTAAATATCATTAATTTGTTGTCTGTTCGATATTAAATTTTTTACTTGATGATTCCCCCAATCGGCGATATAGAGATTGCTATGTCGATCGAATGATAAACCATAAGGATAATTCAATTGATTCGATTGTCCTCCTTGACCGTTTCCACCTGCAATCACACTTCCCTGTGTGGCTCCTTTTGGCCAACGCATTATTCGATTGTTATTAACATCAGTCACATAAACAGTGCCCAATTGATCGACAACAACTCCTTGAGAACCATCCAATTGTGTAAGACTATCTCCTTGTCCTTGACCACCGACTGCTACAATGCCTTGTTTTGCATCTTCTTCCCATTTCATCACACGATTATTTCCCCAATCAGACACGTACACTGAATGATCTCGATCGACAAATACGTACCAAGGGCGATTGAGTTGATCAAGACGATTTCCTTCTCCATTACCACCTGCAACTACTGTTCCTTCAGTATCGCCAATACGATATCGTCTCACTTCATGTTTTTCATAGTCACTGACATAAAGAGATCCATTCTCGTCCATTGTCAAACCGATGCAAGTTATGTTTGAGATGATTGTTTTTCCACTAGCACCATTTTGCCGAGGCCATCGAACTACTCTTTGATTCCACGTGTCAGAGATGATGAGACTATCGATCCCTTTATCGACAATCACATCGTATGGCTCGTTTAACTGATTAGCTCCATTTCCTCTTCCATTTCCACCAGCAACTACTTGGCCATTCATTGCACCACGTTTCCACTCCACAATACGGTGATTATAGTAATCAGCGACATAAATCGTTTGATCATCGTCGACATACAAACCAGATGGGAAAGCGAGTTGATTGGTTTCATTGCCTTGTCCATTTCCTCCAGCCACAGTGACACCATTCTGAGCCCATTTTGCATTCGGATGAATATCAATCGAACTTGCACGTGATGGTACTTAAAATAGAGAAAAATAAGTGTCATAGTAGGAAGCAGAAGACATAAAGAGAGGAAAGAAGTTTTAAAAAAGAGCGATTTTGTCCGGAAAGACGGGCCGGTGAGTAAGAGTGAGACATGTAGCTGAATTCTACAGAAATAAAATATATGGGCGAAAAAATTGGAATCTTCGGGTTTTCACGGTGAGGGTGGGTGATGACCATCAGAATTTAGAAATATTTTTTTATTTTATTTTGCTGTTCGTCTGTTCCTCCATTCATCTCATTGCTGGCACACGCATCTTTATTTTCATCTATTATTTTTTTTCTTTTTGAGATACATTTTACGCAGTTTTGTTTTTGTTCCTTGTCTTCGGAAACTAGCCATCCAAAAAAACTGTGGATTCTCTACAAGCTTATCTCTACTCAAATTCTTTGCTGAACGACGAGAAATGATCAATGAGGAGGAATGACAAAGAAGAAGATAGCCAGCAGGTGTGTCTAAGGAAAACCAACCTCCCTTCCCTCTCGAGTTCAGAAAAGAATCATTTTTCCTTAGTATTTTTCTTTTTCTTATGAGCTCTTATTAATTAGAAAAAAAAATGAAATTAACACTTTGTGTAGCCCTTGAAAATGCATAATATTGTTCTGTCGATAGAGTTATATAACCATTGATGATAGTTTTATCGAACACCTGTTACTGTTACTGGAACTTTATGCATGCACTACTCGAGATTTCTCTTCTATCACATACAGACAACATGTTTGAAGATTCTTCAGATTTCAAATCTTGACAAACAGACACATTGATGGGTGAACTCTTGGAAAAAATAAAGCATGCTCTTGAGAGTTTGGCCTTTGTCCATTTCGATGAATGAAAGAAAACAAGTTTAATTAGTGTAACTGGATCGAGTTCATCAGTGTTTTCACGCTTTACTTTATGTCTGTTAATCTTTTGTGTGAATTCAATAGATAACAACAAGAAGCGGATTATTTCACAATGCTATTAAACAAGATTTTGAAAAAAGTCAATTTCTTCGCAAAATTTACAATATATGAGAGAGAGCATTTTTTTAACGGCGGTAACTTGTAAAGAGAAATCACGAATAGAATTCCAAATAATAGAATGCTGTAGTCCTACTTCTGATACGCTGTATCGATATTAAAACATGACAGTAGATATTTCGAAAAGTTTCAAAATTAAAAAGCGCTTTTCATCAGTTCTAAAAAGTTCAAATCTAAAGAATATAGTGAAACTTTGAAGAAATATCAAGAGATCAACCATATTCTATTCTTTATGTACGTAGCACTGACCATTGGTTGTTTGGACGTATTTGTGTGTCAATAACTCTCGCAGTATTATCTCGAAGAATGAGTGAGAGTATATTAGTAACTGAACAGCACAAAATAAAACTATTGTCTATGCATTTTTTCCCGCTTACCCAAAAAAACCTGTAAGGAGGGTACAGACGAGACTCAATAATTTTGATATCGCCAAAAGGAAAATGGATATGCTATAGTTGTAGCCCATTATCGGTCGATCTAGCATCTCCATGTGTTCTTCTTTAAGAAATGAATGTCAGAACGTCTGGATATCTCACAACATATATCTTTACACGAAGTTCTTCGCCATGCACAACATAGAGATGTTCTTGTTGAGGATCCAATGCAAAATCCTGTATAGCATGATTTAAGGGAAGTATACGTACTCTTACTCTTTTCACTTGACGTATTATACGCTCCTCACTGCCACAGACACTGTCGAAAATGAACAGCGTGCCTTCATTATCAATATTAATATGGTGGGGTCGACCGAGATTAGCATATTCTGAACCAGAACTATGTTGCTCAAGCACTAATGCCCGTTTCAAAATAAACAGAAGGATGATTGTTTTTCGAATAACTCTTCAACGGAAAGAGCTGTCGACTTGCGGTTTTCACCATTAGAAAGAAGCTAACATTCTGCATCTTTCTATATAGTAGTTAACAAAACTAGCTCATAAATTTAATGAGCAATCAGTAAAACTGAAAGAAGAAATTAAAATGCTTTGAAAAATGTATAGAGTTTCAATTATAAGGAATACGTTAGATTGGACTACTCAAGATCTACAACTCTATATAAATCCGAAATTTTTATTTTTTTGTATCGTTCAAAAGATATACAGCCAACACTGACCCTCAAAAATGCTAGAAACAACCTTTAGTGACTATTTTTTCAAGGTTTTTTATTCTATGTTTATCAATTATCAGTTAAGTTTTCGATCATTATCAATTGAAGGAAATTATTCATAGTGCAAGGAAATCGTTCTTTGCCATGTAAAACCAGTGCTAATCATATTACATGACATATTGAGTATCCTCGTCGCCAACTATACTGATACAATATACTCCTATATGTTGAATACCACTTCAGAATAATCGAAAACCTAACTGTTAATTGATAAACATAGAATTTTGAAAAAACTTGAAAAAATCGTCACTAAATGTTGTTTCTAGCATTTTTGAGGATCAGTGTTGGCTGTATATCTTTTGAATCATACAAAAAATAAAAATTTCGAATTTATGTACAGTTGTGGATCTTGAGTAGTCCAATCTAACGTATTCCTTATAATTGAAACTCTATACATTTTTCAAAGCATTTTAATTGATTCTTTCAATTTCACTGATTGCTCACCAAATTTTTGAGCTAGTTTTGTTAACTACTATATAAAAAGATGCAAAATGTTAACTTCTTTCTATTGATGAAAACTGCAGATCGACAGCTCTTTCCGTTGAAGAGTTATTCGAAAAACAATCATCCTTCTTTTATTTTGAACAGGACATTAGTATGCCTTCTGATGCATTCTTTTCCCATTTCATCACACATGCATTCTGCAAATCAGCAATGAAAAGAGTATGGTTGGAGTCAATTAAGAGTCCTTATAGCAAAGAAAGCTGACTTGTACCGCTACCAGGACCATTACCTCGGAGCCCTCTACTTTCACTTGAGTTTCATCTCGCTGTTTGACACGAAAGTTCTACAAAAAATTGTAAATATTGAGTATAAAGAAATAATAATGGCTAATACAGGAAGAACTTATCATCGCTCGATAGTATGCAATCTTGGGATATACTCAAAGAAGTGAACTGTTCAGTAGTAGAAATGACTGTTGTAGAATTACCTGGTGATACAAGTGTATTTACAGGAGCTGTCTTTCTTGTCAATAATCCAGTCGTTAGACCGACTACCATCCCGATAAGAATAAAAGTTAGTGCACCAACAATCCAATATCTCTTGCTAAATTTTCGTGTAGTATATTCGGGTGGTTCAGGAGACTGAAGAATAGAAGTGAAGCAACAAACATTTCCGAATACATTCCGTTTTACTGTATTCTATTTCACATACCGTTATTTGTTGAAGATGAACAACTTGAAGACCACCAGAATGTTCCATTGCATCAGCAACCACATGTAAATGTAATCCTGGTAACAATATGACTTCATGTTCGTCTGAATAATTTGTATAGCCGGTAATATCTCGAGCATCTAAGGCTTCGATTAAGAATAGAGTATCTGTTCCAATGAGAAAACTCTCAATAACATGGACGTCCAGCGAACACGAGCTAACACTCCACCATACCAATTTGTCCCTTAACACATTGTCAATCGTGATATTTATCATTGAATACATTATCAAGTACAGCTTACCCTTTCTTGTATTGATTTCCCAACGCCGTACGCACCCCTCGCCAAACATTGTGTTTGCAACTAGGCAACTTTTTCAAAGCTGTATCGAAGAGCTTTAGGAAAGGAAACCAAGGCTTGAGACTGTTACGGTTTTCGGAGCGGAGAGCAGTGTTGAGTACTCGATAGAAACTGTTGTCACCCCATTCCATTGTATAAAGGTAAACAGATGCTGCTTGATCTTTTGTGAGACCATGCTTGTTCGGATAATGACAACATTCTTTAGCTACTTTGACATAGTCGGCAAGGGAATTGAATAGTGACTCAATGGATTCGACAGCTCGCTCCAATGATACGAGTAGCTGATTCTGATAACCGTAGATTGGACTTAATTGGTTATCATTTTGTACGGTGTCATCGATGAAACGATTTGCAAACCATGCGGCAGAGTACAATGTTGCTTCTGACATATTTCAATGAATAAGATAATGTTCTTCTGTCTAGAACGCGAATGTCTCATTACACAATAAATCTATTGCTCTTTTTATAACATCGGCAAAGAAAATTAAGGTAGGTTAAGAGAAACTCAAAGAAAATACTCAAGAAAGCGACTAACATGATAGAATTCAGATTTTGAATTGATTCATCTAGAACAACAGTCTCTCTCTCTTATTATTCTCGAATCTAAAATAGTGCAATTTGAAAACTTGTTTCTAGATGCGATTAATCTAGTTAATTCGTGATCTATATTTTACATATGTAATTGGGGAAGAGAAGGTACTGAAGATATTTAAAGTCATATTTTGATTCGTTTGTTTTCTTACTTTTGTAATAGTAGTTAAACAATGATGAAAAATAGAAGAAAAGGCAAAAAATTATATTAAAAATGATCAATCGAACAGCCAGCTTATTTTGATAATGCGGCATTGATACAGATCCAGACTGTTTCATTTTTTAACGTATCTACTGGATCCACGTTCACCATTAGTGGTTCAAATGACAGATTGCTTTAGTATAAAGCGAATCTTAGAGTTTTGATTGTAAACTCTTTTCATTTCAGCTCTTCTAACTCAATGTTTTTTTCCAGCAGATGTGCCGTGATAATCTCTAATACATGATATGGTATACTTGTCTTTACCTAATTCAGCATTTCTATTCTTTCAAAAATGCAATACAACTGCCTCAAAAGTTTTTAGCAAATATTGGGAAATTTAGCATCTTCTTACGGATTATCAACATCGTTTTAAAAATTCGACAAAAAGAATATTTTGAAAAAAGTTAATCATTTGTGTCCATTAACGTGTCACATTTTTCAAACAACAATAATATTAACTGGATCAAGTCAACTATGACATCTGCCAGACTATTTCATCGGGCATCTGTTCGAAAAACATTCAGATACGATCAAAACAACTTTTAGTCAAAATAGTCACAAGTTATCTGATTGTTGTGCTCTTACAATCTCACTGACTATAACATGTTTTTTTTAATTAAAGTTACACCGAACACAATATCATGACTAAATATGCGAGGTTTTTGGGACCAATTTCTTTAAAGCTACTTACGATTTCAGTACCATGGTATTCTCAAAATTTTCTCCCTTTACTTAAGAGAGGACCCGCGAGATCACTGATCAACACTGGGATACGAAAAATTTTCTATTTTGAAATGAGTTAGGCTATTCGAAAGAGCATGAAAGGCTAGGCTTATAATCAATTTTCAGCTTTTTTTGAAAACCCTATCAAGAAATACGAAGAGGTCTTGAACCCCTTTGGATCTACACCCAAGTACTATTTTATAAATCTTCAAAAACTTTTCGAAAATTTTGGTGATTTGTAGAGAATTCTATTTAACACTTTATGAGGACATATATTACTCTTGAAAATCCTTTTTTTCTTAGCATCAATTAACGTACTTTGATTAGATCTGTTCAATACACTATCATAGAACAAGATTGCCAAATATAAAGAATCTCTAATGTGTTAGCTTTTATTCAAAAAAAGCTGTTAGCGCAATCCCTAAGGGATTAAAATGTGAAGCACGATATAGTTGCTGTGGCTCATGACACGGAAATAGTTGAGATCTATGCCTATTATGGTTTGTGACACTGTCGGTCATAGTCTAGACATTATTCACAACGCTGTTTGTCACGGTCTGTGACGGGTAATTAGTTAATTAAACACTAATTAATTAATTAAGATGTCGGTCCGGGTGGGGGGGGGGGGGGGGGTGCAAATTTCTACCCCTGAACACTTCAACACTCTCTTTCAGATCGTGTTTCACAAAATAGGCAAAAATGCAGCAGCTAGCAGGACTTATTTTTTGAGATTTACTGGGATTCTGTAATAAATCCTTATGCATTTTGAGATAAATCTCACATAACCTTCCAGTACATACATATATACCTATAGTGTGGACACGCTGAGATACCGATACAAGCTAGTGCACTGAAATATTGATACAGTTAATAAATCTTCAAGGAACAAATAAATCCGTAGAAAAAAGAAATCCTGGTAACCTCTCCAATTATAATTATAATTACAATTAAGATAAAAATTCTATCTTTGGCTTTTCTATATTAAGGAGAGGCGGTTTTTTGTTTATTTTCAAAGTGATATTAAGCTCTCACATGTTTATTTATATTCGAACTAGAATTAGGCAACTAATGGCTTTGGATGCCGCTAAACATGTTTTTATCGATCGAATTGAATGGATAAATTATGCTACACAACTAGCCGACGTTAGGCCTATAGAAGCCTATAGACAAGGTTTGGAATGTATTAAAAAATAAACTACGCGAATGTGAAAATACAGTAATATTGAACAAATTGAAAAAGGACATTAAAAAACAATGAAGCAAATTTTGTGTTTCTTTATGTCAACGAATGATAGATAAAATTCGAGCATGATTAAAATTAGTAATTGATCAAGGTAGTAATCAAATACCGGAACACTGATAACTTGTTTTGTGTTTCTTATTTCCGATAGTTGTATTGTTTTTAAAACAATTACGAAGAATATGAGGAAAATTGAAAAAAATAGTGCATGACTGTGTTGTTACAGGTTTTCATTTATAGTACAAGTTATACACTTCAAACTTGATAGTCATGTAGTACTAAGTATGCACAATAATCTGCCGAAGTTTCCAAGAGTTTGCTTCTATTGCATGGGAGAACGATGAATTTTAATATCATTTCAAAACTTCTGGAACACCTTTTATCTAAGAGGAAAATATGTTGCTGTTTTCTCTTCAAATGGATATTTTCACCCACTTTGCTAAATATACTGTCGTTTATTATGACTATCTCTCATTTATCCATGGCGTTCATTTTTATCGATTTTCTGTCTTTTTTTTTGTATGATGAATCATATAGAAAGTTTTCATATAGTTTTGTGTCTTTTTTAAAAGAAATTGAAGTTCAACTTGCTTATAGATGCTTTTTAAAAGGCTTTTGAGAAACTAAAACAAGAACCTTACAAAATATTTTAAAGTTTTCAGATAAAAATTGCTAGAAAGTTCCGAAAAAGGTCATTTAATCATACAATTAAGAACAATGACAAAAACCAAAAAAAATTTATTCAAATTTGATTGACAATATTGTAAATATTGATCAATAAACTTTTGTTTTTAATCAAAAAATAATAAAAAGAGAATTTATAGATATCATCTTGATAAACAAGTTTCTTGCTAGACCGTCTAAAATATTC